GACCCCATTGCCTATGCTCTCATTAGCCCATCTATCCTCCAATAGCTGTTTATATCTTACCCTAACTGCCTCCTCTTTTAGTTTATAAAACCTTCACCTCTCTCTTCCCTGATGTTTCTATTCTCCTTGTATCCCATCTACCTTTTACTCTCAGTGTAGCTACAACTAGAAAGTGATCTGATATCTGTGGCCCCTCTATAAACATGTACATCCTGAAGTCTACTCAACAGTCTTTTATTCACCAATACATAATCCAACAAACTACTGTCATTTCGCCCTACATCATATCGTGTATACTTATTTATCCTCTTTTTCTTAAAATATGTATTACCTATAACTAAACCCCTTTCTATACAAAGTTCAATCAAAGGGCTCCCATTATCATTTACACCTGGCACCCCCAAACTTACCTACCACACCCTCTCTAAAAGTTTCTCCTACTTTAGCATTCAAGTCCCTACCACAATTACTCTCTCACTTGGTTCAAGGCTCCTATACATTCACTTAACATCTCCCAAAATCTCTCTCTCTCCTCTGCATTCCTCTCTTCTCCAGTGCATACACGCTTATTATGACCCACTTCTCGCATCCAAACCTTTACTTTAATCCACTTAATTCTTGAATTTACACATTCATATTCTCTTTTCTCCTTCCATAACTGATCATTTTAACATTACTGCTACCCCTTCCTTTGCTCTAACTCTCTCAGATACTCCAGATTTAATCCCATTTATTTCCCCCCACTGAAACTCTCCTACCCCCTTCAGCTTTGTTTCGCTTAGGGCCAGGACATCCAACTTCTTTTCATTCATAACATCAGCAATCATCTGTTTCTTGTCATCCGCACTACATCCACGCACATTTAAGCAACCCAGTTTTATAAAGTTTTTCTTCTTCTCTTTTTTAGTAATTGTATACAGGAGAAGGGGTTACTAGCCCATTGCTCCCGGCATTTTAGTCGCCTCATACGACACGCATGGCTACGGAGGAAAGATTCTTTTCCACTTCCCATGGACAATAGAAGAAATAAAAAGAACAAGAGCTATTTAGAAAAAGGAGAAAAACCTAGATGTATGTATATATATATATATGCATGTGCGTGTCTGTGAAGTGTGACCAAAGTGTAAGTAGGAGTAGCAAGATATCCCTGTTATCTTAGCGTGTTTATGAGACAGAAAAAGAAACCAGCAATCCTACCATCATGCAAAACAGTTACAGGTTTTTGTTTCACAGTCATCTGGCAGGACGGTAGTACTTCCCTGGGTGGTTGCTGTCTACCAACCTACTACCTATAATCTACTTCTATATAATCTACTTCTATATAATCTACTTCTCATAATAATCTACTTCCATATAATCTACTTCTCATAATAATCTACTTCCATATAATCTACTTCTACATAATAATCTACTTCTATATAATCTACTTCTCATAATAATCTACTTCCATATAATCTACTTCTCATAATAATCTACTTCCATATAATCTACTTCTCATAATAATCTACTTCTATATAATCTACTTCTCATAATAATCTACTTCCATATAATCTACTTCTCATAATAATCTACTTCCATATAATCTACTTCTCATAATAATCTACTTCTTTTAATCTACTCTCATAATAATCTACTTCCATATAATCTACTTCTCATAATAATCTACTTCCATATAATCTACTTCTCATAATAATCTACTTCTATATAATCTACTTCTACATAATAATCTACTTCTATATAATCTACTTCTCATAATAATCTACTTCTATATAATCTACTTCTCTAATATCTACTTCCATATAATCTACTTCTCATAATAATCTACTTCCATATAATCTACTTCTACATAAAATCTACTTCTATATATCTACTTCTCATAATAATCTACTCTATATAATTACTTCTCATAATAATCTACTTCCATATATCTACTTCTACTAATATCACTCCATATAATCTACTTCTCATAATAATCTACTTCCATATATCTACTTCTCATAATAATCTACTTCTATATAATCTACTTCTACATAATAATCTACTTCTATATAATCTACTTCTCATAATAATCTACTTCTATATAATCTACTTTCTCATAATAATCTACTTCCATATATCTACTTCTCATAATAATCTACTTCCATATAATCTACTTCTACATATAATCTACTTCTATATAATCTACTTCTCATAATAATCTACTTCCATATAATCTACTTCTCATAATAATCTACTTCCATATAATCTACTTCTACATAATAATCTACTTCCATATAATCTACTTCTCATAATAATCTACTTCCATATAATCTACTTCTCATAATAATCTACTTCCATATAATCTACTTCTCATAATAATCTACTTCCATATAATCTACTTCTACATAATAATCTACTTCCATATAATCTACTTCTACATAATAATCTACTTCCATATAATCTACTTCTACATAATAATCTACTTCCTATTAATCTACTTCTACATAATAATCTACTTCCATATAATCTACTTCTACATAATAATCTACTTCCATATAATCTACTTCTTATAATAATCTACTTCCATATAATCTACTTCTACATAATAATCTACTTCCATATAATCTACTTCTATAATAATCTACTTCCATATAATCTACTTCTACATAATAATCTACTTCCATATAATCTACTTCTACATAATAATCTACTTCCATATAATCTACTTCTACATAATAATCTACTTCCATATAATCTACTTCTACATAATATTATTCATATAATCTACTTCTCATAATAATCTACTTCCATATAATCTACTTCTCATAATAATCTACTTCCATATAATCTACTTCTACATAATAATCTACTTCCATATAATCTACTTCTACATAATAATCTACTTCCATATAATCTACTTCTCATAATAATCTACTTCCATATAATCTACTTCTACATAATAATCTACTTCCATATAATCTACTTCTTATAATAATCTACTTCCATATAATCTACTTCTACATAATAATCTACTTCCATATAATCTACTTCTACATAATAATCTACTTCCATATAATCTACTTCTACATAATAATCTACTTCCATTTTAATCTACTTCTACATAATAATCTACTTCCATATAATCTACTTTACATAATAATCTACTTCCATATAATCTACTTCTACATAATAATCTACTTCCAAAATAATCTACTTCTTAAAAATAATCTACTTCCATATAATCTACTTCTACATAATAATCTACTTCCATATAATCTACTTCTTACATAATAATCTACTTCCATATAATCTACTTCTACATAATAATCTACTTCCATATAATCTACTTCTACATAATAATCTACTTCCATATAATCTACTTCTACATAATAATCTACTTCCATATAATCTACTTCTTATAATAATCTACTTCCATATAATCTACTCTACATATATAATCTACTTCCATATAATCTACTTCTACATAATAATCTACTTCCATATAATCTACTTCTTATAATAATCTACTTCCATATAATCTACTTCTACATAATAATCTACTTCCATATAATCTACTTCTACATAATAATCTACTTCCATATAATCTACTTCTACATAATAATCTACTTCCATATAATATCAACATCTACATAATAATTTACAACATAATAATAAGTATAATAAGTATTTTTCTTAGCTAAGCATTTCACCAATATGATTAAAATTTAAAGCCATCTATTAAATCTCCCTTAAAAAAATTGTTGGTTGGGTCAGTTTTAACGACAAACCAAAAATTAAGTAAATTAAAACTGACTGGCTAAAAGGGTAGCCCGGTTTCTATTACCAATTTAGGGACTGAAAATTATTTGCTAGAAAATCATACGAGTAAATAGCAATGTTAATCATCTGTTGTAATAGAGGGAAAAATGCAAATGGCAGGAGAACCATTATGGGCTATATCAAGGCTGTCTGCTGAGGACTAACAGCACTCTAACTTTCACTGCTGTCTAGATAACTGACAAGAGGATTGTTCTGTAGAAGGTACTTCTTGAAAATGTGCAGTTGCGATGATAAATTGCGGGGTTTACAATTAGAGAATTTCACGGCAGTGAAGGTGTTCAGTACTCACCTGGCCACCTAGGAAGGTGCTCAGTACTCACCTGGTCACCTATGAAGGTGTTCAGTACTCACCTGGTCACCTATGAAGGTGTTCAGTACTCACCTGGCCACCTAGGAAGGTGCTCAGTACTCACCTGGCTACCTAGGAAGGTGCTCAGTACTCACCTGGCTGCCTAGGAAGGTGTTCAGTACTCACCTGGCCACCTAGGAAGGTGCTCAGTACGCACCTGGTCACCTAGGAAGGTGTTCAGTACTCACCTGGTCACCTATGAAGGTGCTCAGTACTCACCTGGCCACCTAGGAAGGTGTTCAGTACTCACCTGGCCACCTAGGAAGGTGCTCAGTACTCACCTGGTCACCTAGGAAGGTGTTCAGTACTCACCTGGTCACCTAGGAAGGTGCTCAATACTCACCTGGCCACCTAGGAAGGTGTTCAGTACTCACCTGGCCACCTAGGAAGGTGCTCAGTACTCACCTGGCCACCTAGGAAGGTGTTCAGTACTTACCTGGTCACCTAGGAAGGTGCTCAGTACTCACCTGGCTGCCTAGGAAGGTGCTCAGTACTCAGCTGGCCACCTAGGAAGGTGCTCAGTACTCACCTGGCTACCTAGGAAGGTGCTCAGTACTCACCTGGTCACCTAGGAAGGCGCTCAGTACTCGCCTGGCTGCCTAGGAAGGTGCTCAGTACTCACCTGGTCACCTAGGAAGATGCTCAGTACTCACCTGGCCACCTAGTAAGGTGTTCATTATTCACCTGACCACCTAGCAAGGTGTTCACAACTCATCCGACCACTTGTCGAGGTGTTCACCACCCATCAGGAAAACTAACAAGTTGTTCACCACTCACGTGGTCACATGAGAAGGTGGCCACTTGGTTACCTAACAATAAGTTCAACACTCACCTGGCTGTAATCGTAAGGCTTCATGCCAGTTTCTCCACACGGGTTTGTGAAGGGAAAGAGTGTCGTCCAGCGAGGTCCTCCGTCTGTAGGAGATGAAAAATAGGTAGTGAGGGGGACTGGTAATGAGGGAGATTTGCAGTGAGGGAGACTGGTAGCGAGAGAGACTTGTAGTGAGAGTGACTGGTAAAGATGGAGGCAGGTAGTGAGGGAGACTAGTAATGAGAGAGGCAGATATTGAGGGAGAATTGCAGTGAGGGAGAATTCAAGTGAAGGAGAATGGTAGTGAGGGAGATTTCAAGTGAGGGAGACTTCAAGTGAGAGAGACTGGTAGTGTGGGAGAATGGCAGTGAGGGAGACTTGTAGTGAGGGAGTCTGGTAGTGAGGGAGACTTGTAGTGAGAGTGACTGGTAAAGAGTGAGACAGGTAGTGAGGGAAAATTGTAGTGAGGGAGAATTCATGTGAAGAAGACTGGTAGTGAGGGAGATTTCAAGTGAGGGAGACTTCAAGTGAGGGAGACTGGTAGTGAGGGAGACTTCATGTGAGGGGGACTGGGAGTGAAGGAGATTTCAAGTGAGGGAGATTTCAAGTGAGGGAGACTGGTAGTGTGGGAGGCTGGTAGTGAGGGAGACTGGTAGTGAGGGAGGCTGGTAGTGAGGGAGACTGGTAGTGAGAGAGACTGGTAGTGAGTGTGACTGGTAGTGAGGGAGACTGGTAGTGAGGGAGACTGGTAGTGAGGGAGACTGTTAGTGAGGGAGTGGCAGGGTGGAGGAGTGGCAGTATGCGGGAGTGGAAGTGTGCCGGAGTGGCAGTGTGCGGGAGGGGCAGTGTGCGGGAGTGGCAGTGTGCGGGAGTGGCAGTGTGGAGGAGTGGCAGTGTGCGGGAGTGGCAGTGTGCGGGAGTGGCAGTGTGCGGGAGGGGCAGTGTGAGGGAGTGGCAGTGTGGAGGAGTGGCAGTGTGCGGGAGTGGCAGTGTGCGGGAGTGGCAGTGTGCGGGAGTGGCAGTGTGCGGGAGTGGCAGTGTGGAGGAGTGGCAGTGTGCGGGAGTGGCAGTGTGCAGGAGTGGCAGTGTGGGAGAGTGACAGTGTTTGAGATTGGCAGTGAGAAAGATTGGTAGTGAGGGGGACTGGCATTGAGGGTGCCTAGTAGTGCGGGAGACAGGCTGTGAGGATGACTGGTAGTGAGGGAGACTGGTAGTGAAGGGGACTGGCAGTATGGGAGATTGGTAGTGAGGGAGACTGGTAGTGAGGGAGACTGGTATTGAGGATGACTGACAGTGAGGGAGACTTGTAGTGAGGGAGATTGGTAGTGAGGGAGATTGGTAATGAAGGATACTGGTAGTGAGGAAGACTTCAAGTGAGGGAGACTGGTAGTGAGGAAGACTTCAAGTGAGGGAGACTGGTAGTGAGAGAGACTTCAATTGAGGGAGACTGGTAGTGAGGGAAACTTTAAGTGAGGGAGACTGGTGGTGAGGGAGAGTGGCAGTGTGGGTGAGTGGCAGTGTGGGAGAGTGGCAGTGTGGAAGAGTGGCAGTGTGGGAGAGTGGCAGTGTGGGAAAGTGGCAGCGTGGGAGAGTGGCAGTGTGGGAGAGTGGCAGTGTGGGAGAGTGGCAGTGTGGGAGTGTGGCAGTGTGGGATGAGGTGAAGATTAGCGATCAGGTTTAGGGAGCAAGCCACACACACACACACACACACATGCACACCAACATCAAACACACACACAAACACACACACATGCACACACTCACTCACACACACACACACACACACACACACACACACACACACACACACACACACACACACACGCACACGCACACACACACGAAGGAACCAGGGATCAGAGGAGAATGGTTCTGGTAGGGAGGAGTGGATGGAGGAGCAGTGGAAAAGGATGGAACAAAAGTGGGAGAGAAAATTAGGAGAGCTTTCTGAAAAAATGGAGACATAGCTTTCTGTGAAATTAGAAAAGAGGTTGCAGAACAAGAAGAATTGGGAGGCACAAGTCGAAACTGCAGTAGCCAGGATAAGGGTCCTAAAAGATGAGGTAAACAGGCTGAAACGAGTTACAGGGGCATTGACCAGAGAAGATACAGCATATAAAGCTGAGAGGCCGAACAGGAAGGAAGGAGATATGAATTATGCTAAGGTCATATCAGCCTGCCAAGAAGGGCCAAGGAGTGAAAGGGGCTAGCAGCTGGGTGCTAAGGGTGATAAGTCAAATGCAGAGGCACAACCATGCTACCAAGAGCCACTGGAAAAAAACAAGGTAGAAAATGACCATGTACAGACAGGAACCAGAGTCACAGAGGGAGAGGCAATGGGAGGAGGAAAGTGCAAAATCAGTGTTTATTCATGGGCTTCAGGAGAGAGAGGAAAGGACACATGCTGAAAGATGGCAGGCAGAAAGAAAAGAGACTGAGAACATCACAGAAATTGGTGAAGAAGACATGAACGAGATTGTAAATTTTCAGAGAATAGGGGGGCACTTGAAGGGGAGAAAACGACTGATCAAGCTGATTCTCAGGACAGAAACAGTGTGGAACAGGATCCTCCAAGAGAAACCACAGTTGAAGTACTCGGAAGAGTACAAGAGGGTGCTCCTAGACAGAACACAAACAGAATGACAGCAGCTGAGGGAGAGGACAAAAAAGCTAAAGGAGCTAGAAAAGGAGATAAGGATGGAACCAAGCAGAGGTCAATCACAACAGGACAGAGCAGCAAGAGCAAGCAAACACAGAACCATCCTCAGAACCCCAAAACCTATAACACCATCCCAACACAAACTACAATCCATACTCACAGCTTTCACCCAACACCCAGCTATACAATCCCACAGTATGCTACCAGGTCTCCCACCCTCACAGGCCCCCCAAACCACAGTGTTGGAGAGAAAACTGAAGGTATGGTACACAAATGCTGATGGAATAACAAATAAGTGGGAGGAGTGGCACAAAAGAGTCAAAGAGGCATCACTGGACATCATAGCTCTCACAAAAACCAAGCTTACAGGTATGATAACAGATGCCATCTGTCCAACAGGATACCAGATCCTGAGGAAAAACAGAGGGAATAGGGGGGGGTGTGGAGGAGTGGCACTGCTGATCAAAAACCGATAGAATTTTGATGAGCTGGAGAGAGGAGACAGCGGAGAAGCAAGCGATTACATAGCAGGAACGCTTCACTCTGTAGGTCCCAGAGTGGTAATTGCAGTGATGTATAACCCACCACAGAACAACAGGAGGCCAAGGCAAGAGTATGATGAGAGCAATAGAGCGATGGTTGACACACTGGCTGCAGTGGCCAGAAGAGCTCATGCATGCAGGGCAAAGCTTCTGATCATTGGCGACTTTAACCACAAGGAAATCGATTGGGAGAACTTGGAGCCACATGGGGGCCAAGATACATGGAGGGCTAAGATGATGGAGTTGGTACTGGAAAACTTCATGTACCAACATGTAAGGGACACTACAAGAGAGAGAGGAGAGGATGAACCAGCAAGACTGGACCTAGTATTCACCTTGAGTAGTGCAGATATTGAGGACATCACATATGAAAGACCCCTTGGGGCCAGCGATCATGTGGTTTTAAACTTCGAATACACAGTAGAGCTACAAGTGGAGGGGGAAGCAGGAAGGCCAGGGTGAATGAAGCCAAACTACAAGAAAGGGGACTACATAGGAATGAGGACCTTCCTGAATGGGGTTCAGCGGGACAGAGAACTGGCAGGAAAGCCAGTTAATGAGATGATAGAATATGTAACAACAATGTGCAAAGTGGCTGAGGAGAGGTTTGCACCCAAAAGTGCAGGGAGGCAAAAACCAAGTGTGCTAGGGAATGGAAGAAATATAGAAGGCAAAGGATCCAGGAGAATAAGGAGAGCAGTCGTAGAGCCAGAAATGAATATGCACAGATAAGAAGGGAGGCCCGACGACTATATGAAATCACATAGCAGTGAAAGCCAAATCTGACCCGAAGCTGTTATACAGCCACATCAGGAGGAAAACAACAGTCAAGGACCAGGTAATCAGGCTAAGGAAGGAAGGAGGAGAGACAACAAGAAATGACCGTGAAGTATGTGAGGAACTCAACAAGAGACTCAAAGAAGTGTTCACAGAGGAGACAGAAGGGGCTCCAGAAAGACGGAGAGGTGGGGTACACCACCAAGTGCTGGACACAGTACACACAACCGAGGAAGAAGTGAGGAGGCTTCTGAGTGAGCTAGATACCTCAAAGGCAATGGGGCCTGATAACATCTCTCCATGGGTCCTGAGAGAGGAAGCAGAGGCGCTATATGTACCCCTAACAACAATATTCAATACATCTATCGAAACAGGGTGATTACCTGAGGCATGGAAGACAGCAAATGTAGTCCCAATCTTTAAAAAAGGAGACAGACATGAAGCACTAAACTACAGACCAGTGTCACTGACATGTATAGTATGCAAAGTCATGGAGAAGATTATCAGGAGAAGAGTGATGGAACACCTAGAAAGGAATGATCTCATCAACATTAGCCAACATGGTTTCAGGGACGGGAAACCCTGTTCTCACAAACCTACTGGAGTTATATGACAGGGTGACAGCAATAAGACAAGAGAGAGAGAGAGAGAGAGAGGGGTGGGTAGATTGCATTTTCTTGGACTGTAAGAAGGCGTTTGACACAGTTCCACACAAGAGATTAGTGCAAAAACTGGAGGACCAGGTAGGGATAACAGGGAAGGCACTACAATGGATCAGGGAATACTTGTCAGGATGACAGCAGCGAGTGACGGTACGTGGCGAGGTGCCAGAGTGGGCGCCTGGTCGAAGACCAGGCAGACCTACAAAGGGATCTGGATAGGCTGCAGACCTGGTCCAGCAATTGGCTCCTGGAGTTCAACCCCACCAAGTGCAAAGTCATGAAGACTGGGAAAGGGCAAAGAAGACCGCATGCAGAGTACAGTCTAGGGGGCCAGAGACTACAAACCTCACTCAAGAAAAAAGATCTTGGGGTGAGTATAACACCAGGCACAACTCCTGAGGCACACATCAACCAAATAACTGCTGCAGTATATGGGCGCCTAGCAAACCTCAGAACAGCATTCC